TTATGAAGAATGAATATAGATTTAAGGATACAAAATAACGGTTTTTTTAATTTTCGAAAATGCCCCCCCCCCCCCCCCCCCCCTTAAAAATTTTCTGGCTACACCCCTGTGTGGATACATGTATTGGGATTGCGAAAACAAAATAAAAATGATGAAAAATTTATTAAGTATATATTTTGTTTGTTTTTATCGATAAATCCACAAATATAACAATTTGAGTATGTACATCCACTCCATATTCTTATCACGCTTATCATCAATTGGATCATAAATGCTTGATTAATCTATGCGTTCACCGATCATTTAATTTATCATTTTTTTATAGTAAAGTATTTTTGTTTCGATGAGTACCTGCTTAAAACTGAACTGTTGTTGTTTCTGTGATAATAAAAAAAAAACGAAATATCACTTGCTGATAAAAAAAATGAACCCATACACAATATGAGTAAATATGTCTTCGTTGAAAAAATATGAAATGAAATAATGAGTAGTGAGGAGAGCATGTAGAATGAAAATGTATAATCAAGTGGCTCGACAATTAGATACAATATTTACTTTTTTTCACCTGAATGCTTGTACAATAAATATACAACTTTTTTTTCTTTCTTCTTTCAAAGTTGCGATTACAGGAAAGATAAATGAAGTATAACACCATGTCACATTGCTGTACAAGTCAGACATTCCCACAATCAATTATAAAAATGAGTTATTTTTTTAACGAAATAATTGACTTATGTACATATCACTGCTCATTTCATGTCCTCCTCCACTTTACTTTTTGTGTATCTAAAAACACATGCCACTTTATCATGATGTACTCTATTGTTGTTACTATATATCAGTGTAATTTCAATTTCACCGCATTTTACAAATTTTAATGGTGTTTTCTTTTTCAATTTTCATCTACAACATGTCAAAATCGCAACAACAATAAAATGAGGAACAACATTAAAACCGCAAAAGGATGAAAAATTTCTCAGTGAACAATTTTCTTTCATGCTTCGCATGATATACTTTTATGACATACATAGTCCAATCATCGTTTTCCATGCCGATGGACACACTGAGAATATTCTTTAGCCTACAAATAAATGGTAATTCTTTAGCTTTTTGTGGTTAACGATCGTGTGGTTTCTTCTCCGTACATCTACACACACATCTCTCCATTTCACTCTCATTTGATGCGGTTTTTGAGGGTATTAGGTTACATCATTCAGAGAAGTCTCAGCAGCAATTTCATTAAAATTTGATGGTTATATACATGAAAAAACATTCTGGGTTACAAATTACTCTTTCGGAACCGATTATACTTAAGATACACAATAAAATAATAAAATCAAGAAGAGGAATTAGAAATAAGAAGAAAAACTTGTTCACAGAACTCGTTCATATATCGATAATCAAATATTAATAAATTTAAATATATTTCGACGTCAAGCACAATCTACACGTAAAGACAATTCCACTCGACTGAAACTGTAAATTAACAGTCAGTCCACAAATTCGACATGATGAGTTTTCAATTATCTCTTGATGAAAAATGAGTATGATGATGAACAATAACGAAAAGTTCTCATACACTGGACGTATTGTGTTTTAATTCACATTCTGTATAGAAAATTCTTCTTATTCTTATATAACTGATTTTTTATTGCTTTCCGAAAAGAATTCAATTCAGGCCATTAAGGTGTGTATTTTGAGAAAACAAAATTTTAGGATCTAATTAAGTTTAATTATCGAGTTGTGGTTTTTGTATTATTTCCAGCTATTCTTTTTCAATCGCGCTTCATATAAGCCACTTATTTGATGATTTGTCTATAATTTCAGATTACTCATTGTTACTAAAAGCTGTATATGATGTTTTATTACTCAAAAATAATTGATTGCTTTAACAAGTTTATTCACGATCGAAAATTGAGATTATGTTTAATAATACACTGGATGTAACAGTAGTACATTAGAATCTCAATCAATTTTACTGTGCGATTATCGCATCAATTTGAGTTTCTCAAAAATAGACAACCAATAAAGAAAAGTGCGATTCCGTTACTATTTTAAGAAGTGTAAGGCGTTGTTTCCACGAATAAATATCTAAGTACATCATCAGAAACTTATAGCATTTATGATTAACTTTCAGCACATAAAAGTTGTCAATTTCATTTCAAATTTTTCAGGTTCTAAATCTAAATTTCAGTTCTTAAATTTAATTTTAATATATTTTAAGAGTTCATGCAGCAGCTTTTTCATCTTAAATGTTGTTCTAAACTCGAAATATTGATTTTGTTCTACTTTGACATCAAAATGATTTGATTAATGACAGATTGGTTTGACAATTGATTCCTGTAAATCTGCACAATTGCATGATCCAGGGTATATTAATGCAAACAATTTGTGCGTCGCGAATCGCACAAACCGAGTTACCATGACTAGAACAGCGAAAAATCACTCAAAATCCGACAAGACATTTCCTGGGGTTGAGCCAAGAGCATTAGCAAGGCATGGAAACTATCCCAAATTTCATATTTATCCCACATATCCCAAAAATATTCAAAAAATTCCTGAGCAAGTATGTACGATAATAAAGATATCCCAACGTATCCTTAGTGTATTGGACGTGTAATTTCAGGATATGATGGGATATCTCAATTCTAATGCATACAGGCTCAGGGATTATTTTGAATATTTTTGGGATATATGGGATAAATGAGATATTTGGGATAGTTTCCACGCCTTGATCATTAGGGTTGGTTAATACTCTAACCACTAAGCCACTGCTGCTTTTTCACTGCTTAGCTCTTAAAAACTATAAAGGATGTGATACTGGCGTACTTGGTAATGGCATTCAAATAATTTGTCTCTGTGTGATAAATGAACATCAATTAAGTGACAGTATTTGAGTCACCAAAGAACAATCACTGTTAATTATAACAAATTTACATATCAATCAAGTTGAAATATTTATATTGATGTCTAGAAAAAAAAAACTGTTGATTAAATCAAAAGAATGAAATAAAAGAGCTGTGAATAATCGATACTTAAATAGCTCAATTTAAATTCAAGCAGCATTCACTTGACATTGACATAAATTTATAGACATACATACAATTTTTCTTTCATTCTGCTGCTTATTGCTGGTTATTTATATTTCTTCTTATTATACATCATTATTCTTTTTCTTACAAAATTGTTTTCGTTTACTCTCTTTACCAATCCAAATATATCCAATTAAATTTCTCATTCCAAAATGAACTAAATGAAAGTACATGAGAATAAATAAGAAGAACATTTTCCGCTATATCACGATCTGAATGCCAATATTCATTACATGATCAACTACGGCTACCATGTTATTTCATTAGAGGAGAAAATGTGTGATTAAAGTAGCTAATTTAATGTGTACATGTAGTCAAAAAGCCAGCACATACATGAGTTTAATCGATGGAAGTGAAAGAAGTGTGTATGGATGGAAAGCACAACAAATAATTAAATCAATTGACACCCGTAATTGTTTGTTTGCAGCAAATTGAAGAAGGAACATGAAGAAGACTTTTAAAACTTGTGCAAATGTAGGCAAGTCAAGCTCATTTTCTTAAACTTAAAGATTCTTCATCTTACTTCATCACGAGTATGTATCTTTTGTACTTTTATGCAAACAACTTTTTAACTTCTTTTCCGCCTCTTTCCCTTGGCTACGAAGATGTGATTCTTTTTTTTTCGCAAGCATGTTTTATTGTCTTTCTTTCCTTTTGTTCTTTGTTTCATTATGTAGAATTACAGTAATATACCTATTAATTATCACCACACAAAATTAAGAAGAAGATATCAGAGTGCGGAAATGTTAAATTCCAGTTCATTGAATTAACATAAATTAATTCAGAGTCTGAAGACAAAATAAGTTCGCCTTACAAAATGTAGTCAAAAACTGATGAGAATGGGTGAGACAAACAAAGGAGGAAGATGTTTTATGATTACGAAAATTGAATCCTATTTCATAGACATTTATAGACACAACATTATATAAAGTCTTTCAATTTAATTAAGACAATCGACTCCTATCCTTCTTCTCTATAAAGGATCATGCACCATTCTTTCTTCAAATTACTCGTCCTCCTTTAGCAATCTCCCATCTTTTATTTTCTTCTTATAAATGGATAATAATAATCATTATTACTCGGTTTTATGAGAACGAATAAGAGAGAGAGAGAGCTAGCAGGAGTGAGCGGGAGAGAGGGAGGAAAGGAGAAAATGAAAAGAAACAAAATGATAATCGAATTAAAACTGTATACAAATTACAAATTGCTTCATGAACATAACATGATTTTCTGTCACAAAATTACCGACAAGTGGATAATATTTTTTTAGTTTCAATTTTCTCTCCGTTAAGCATGTATTTGTGTGACGAGCACATACAAGAGTTGTTCTTGCGCAGGTCGGAAATTTTTTATTCGTAAAAGCAACATCATAATACAATAACATGCCATCAGAAGAAGAAAAGTAGTAGCAACAGCAGTTGTATTATTATTTTTTCGACAGATTGTTTCATGTTTTCTTTTCTGACTGTCTTCAAATGCGAAGGCACAGACAAAATTATTTTCAAGATTGACATACTTATAACATCACTTTAGAATGTCAATGTTCAAGTCGCAATCATCAAATCTATGAGAGATATAAGGTAACTTAATTCGTATAGAACGTCTCTCGACCGTAAAATTTGTAAGAACTGAATAGTTGCAAACTTTATCAACGGTTAAGTTTATGTGAAGTCAGTCAGAAAAAGTGCAATGTTGAGCATACTGTTGCGGAGAAAATGGAAGTAAGCAAGACATCCATCATGGTTTTTTACAGTTTCGCACACTTTTACGATCGAGCATGTGCTCTCAATGGCATTTCGTAAATTTTTCCGGCGGCTTTTCGTTTTCCACACGATAATTCATCTTCTCAGTTGTTGTTGCATTTTAAATTTATGTAAATTAGTATAGAATAAATTTTTTTTTACTTACCGCAGACGCTGGATGACGCTGAGGAGCTGTCGGATACATATTCGGCTTTTTTAGATTCAGCTTTCAAGTTTGTAATTAATCCGATAGTGATAATTTTTGATTTTCCTAGTATATTGTTATCTTTTAATTGAATAAATTGATTTTCTATTTTCACACACTGGATCTCACGATAACACTTGATAATGCAGTGGGATATTTATTTTTTAATTTTATTATTTTTTATTTCTCATGTAAAATAGCACTTTTCTACACAAATTTATCTATATTAAAAATTTCCGGCTTTTTCACTCTACATGCCACTGCAATATATTTATTTTATATTCACAACTATTTAAGAACAACGACAAAATACACAATTAAGAAATCAAGTCAATTAAGCAAAACTTCACGATTCTTTATTTTAATCTCCACTTTAATTAATTCTCTATTAATTTTTTGTTTGACTGGATAATGCACAATAAACATTAATAACAATCAACACATTTGTTAATTATTTTTTGCACTTGATTAAATTTCAATTAATTTTTTCTTTTTGTTTTTTATTACGTTATGCTATTCAATAATTATGTTTTATATATTTGGCTGAATAAAACTTGCCAAATTTATTGGGAATCGCACTACTGCACTCCTATAGATATTTTATTTTTTCCCGAAATTTCGTACGTATACGACACAGAATCGTAATAAAATCAGCATAAACGCGATACACGTCCGCTCACTTCAAAAATTTACTACACTCTGGCACAATACAACGATGTTTATTTACAAACATGAACACGCTCAACCTAATATTCAGTACAACATGCATCCTTCTGTGCATTTTTGTCCCATTCAAAGTGAAAAACAACACGTGTTCAAAATTAAAAAAATTTAACGGAATATATTTGAATTTTTCAATACTAATTCCACTAATACATTCAAAGAATCTTCATAATTTTTATTTCATAAATTTTGCCCAAACTATTGACATTTATGCAGATCAAATCAATTGATATTCATCAAAACTCCATTTATATTAGGATAAACAGCTCAATTTCTTGTTTTTCATGCAAAAAAATGAACAGTTTAAGAGAATTCAATTTCAAATTCAATTGAATATCCGCTGAATTAGCTGAATTGTATTGCGTACTTTAATAGTGTTAGTAAATATTTGAAAATAACGGTTTGACAGGCAAAGTGCTTAAAATGTGAGCAGTCAGAATTGGATATGCTTAAATCAATCTATACTTTTAAGAGCATTTATTACTTGTTCCTGAAATTGTAGAGGTTTTGAATGATATTTTGATCAGATTGGACTGTATTTTATTTTGTTGACATAACTAGATTAATATTTTTTAAGTTTACTTGGGGATATACTGCATTAGAAATGGAAAGTCTATTTATTATTAACACCCAAGGTGATGTCTTCCTTGAAAAACACTGGAGGAGTGTAATTTCAAAAGGAATTTGTGATCAATTTCTTGAAAAATTGAAAATATCTAATGTAAGATTTATCAAAAAAAATATTAAATTTTATGAATTAAATAAGAACTTATTTATGCAGGAAGTTATACCGGTAATTCCTACATCATTTCAATCCACGAATCTCGTTTCAATCGGTAGATGTGGAATCTACTTAGTAAGTGTATGTAAAGCTGAAATATCTCCACTTTTTGTACTTGAATTCCTACATAGAGTTCTTGATACTTTTACCGACTATTTTAATGAGTGCAATGAATCTATAATTAAAGAGCACTATGTTGTGATTTATGAGCTTTTGGATGAAATGCTTGATAATGGATATCCACTTGCAACAGAATCAAATGTACTAAAAGAGCTGATTAAGCCACCAAACATTCTCAGATCAATTGCAAATTCTATGACTGGAAAGACAAATTTTAGTGACACACTTCCAGTTGGTTCTTTATCATCGATTCCTTGGAGAAAATCCGATGTAAAATATACAAACAATGAGGCATATTTTGATATAATAGAGGAAGTGGATGCAATAATTGATCGTGCAGGAACAACAATATTTGCTGAAATTTCAGGAGAAATTCAGTGTTTGACAAAGCTTAGTGGAATGCCTGATTTAAATCTTTCATTTGTTAATCCAAGAATTTTAGACGATGTTTCGTTCCATCCATGTGTAAGGTATAAAAAATGGGATACTGAAAAAGTTTTAAGCTTTATTCCACCTGATGGATCGTTCCGTTTGATGTCTTATCATGTTACTTCCCAGACTGTCCCCATTCCAATTTATATACGACAAAATATTCATTTGAAAAGTGGTGATCAAGGAAAATTAGACATAACAGTTGGACCTAAAACGACTCTAGGACATCCATTAGAAAATGTCAAGCTTGAGATTCTTTTTCCGAAAAATGTTTTAAACTGCAGCTTAGTGACAACGCAAGGAAAATACGTCTTTGACCAAAATACAAAGATTCTGATTTGGGATGTTGGCAAAATTGATGTCCAAAAGCTTCCAAATATTCGTGGTAGTGTTATAACATGTCAAGGAAGTGCAAATGAATCCATGCCTTCTATAAATGTTCAATTCACCATATCGCAGATTGCAATTTCGGGACTTAGAGTCAACCGTCTTGACATATATGGAGATTTAAAATATAGACCTTTTAAAGGCGTAAAATACGTGACAAAAGCAGGAAAATTCCAAATTCGTTTGTAACATTTATTAACATATATCACTAGCTAGCTCTCAGAGACAATCTCAACAGAAAGCCGAACGAAAACATTTATTTGTGAAAATAATAAAATTAAATTTTGTATTCAATATTAAACATTTTTTATTTCATTTTGTTTTTAATCAGAGACCAAAATGAATGAAATAAATCTGTGATAAAAAAATATCATTATTTTTGATGATGAAAAAAATTATGATTTTTTTCATCTACGTAAATTATTACGTAGAATTTCATCACGTGAGAATCATTTTTACGTAGGATTTCATCACGTAAAGCAAAAAATGACGTATAAAATGTTTTCATGCAAGTTTTTTAAGCAAAACTAATCTATTCTATCTCTTGTTCTTATTATTTAGCATTATTAATACATTTGGTGTGATTTTACTGCATTTTTTCGTTTACGTGATGCAATCCTACGTAAAAATGATTCTTATGTGATGAAATTTTACGTAATAATTTACGTAGATGAAAAAAATCATAATTTTTTTCATAATCAGATTTTTTTCATTCATTTTGGTCCCTGTTTTTATAATTAATAAACTTATCGCATTTTTTTCTTGTATTGAAAAAAGATCCGAACATAATAATAGGAATTATTTACACAAGAAAGCAAAATAAAACAAATTTGATTTTTTTATCTATCATAAAATAAGGATTTCATTTCATAAGTGAACAACTAATTAAGGACCTTTAAAATAATTGTTTAATTAAAAGAAATTTTGTAGAATAAGGTTCGTTGGACATTTTTTTTTGTTTGTTTGCAAGGAGCCTTCAATATCTATACATGCTTTAAACATTTAATTAATCACTTATTATTCAGCTAAAACACTGGATTTAAATTCTAGCAGCTTTTTGCATTGTTTGGTATCCAACTCCTTTTTATAGCATTCAAAATTGTCAAATAATCTTTAAAATAATTCAATTAAGCATAGCAATTTGAAAGCATTTATAGATATTGAAAGCATGGTTTCAAAATAATAATAGTATATATATTTATAGATAACTGAATGACCAAAGTTCTCTCCATTCATTGATGTATGTTGTATATAGATTTTATGTAGCATCACCTCGTAAATTATTATTACAAATCTTTATGATTGGCGACAATGCGTTAACTTTTTTACACTTACGCATGATATAAATTTCTTTTTCGTTCGTCGCTTCTTATTGATGTCTGATGATTCTCGCGTCGAATAAGCTTCATCATTAGAAATACTATTTTTCTTACTAATTTGATGAGATGATGACGATGAATCTTGCATTTGTTGCTGTCGGGCCAATTCCTCTGCTTCATTTAGATCATGTTCAGTGAAATATACATTATTTTGACGACTCTCGTAATGATAAGATTCTAAATAAGGCAACACTGTGGAACTCCTTGAAACATCTCCTTTTAATGGTGGAACAAAAACACGATTTCCTACAAATATAATTGCTTTAAAAAATCAGCTACGCATTTATATATTGTTTATTTATCACCTGTATCAATTGGAGAAGAATTAAACCATATGTGATTTCGGATTTGCGGTATCGTATAACGCTTGTTCGCATCAAATTGTAGCATATTAAGTAATAAATCAGTTAATAAGGGATCCAGTCCTGATAAGATAAAATCAAACATTATTTCAAATCTAATGATACGCAAAGCATTTTAATTTCTATATTCTCAAAAATGAGAATGAACTACATGAGCAAATTACTAACCCTCTGGGATACTCCAAACACCTTTTCCAATATTTTCTAGCAGTCGATAAATATTATCACCTTCAAATGGGTACAGTCCTGTTGTGATATTATAACTAAAGATGTAAAAATAATATTAACGCCATTCACTTCAATAATAATGAATTAATTAATTTACAGTGAAACGCCTGAACTCCAAACATCTGCTTTGGAACCTGAAAATGAGTCATGTCCATTTGCAATTTCTGGCGGTTGAAATGCTGGAGAACCTAATAAGAATAATAACAATAAAGTAATTATGTAACTCATCATCTAAAGATTATTTGAGAAGCTTTTTGCATAAGTTGAAAAATCTCATTCCTCATTTTGTGACTTGAGCGTAATTTCTTGAAGCAATCATCAAACAAATAAGTATTGTTGAACTTTGTTGTACAAAGCGATTGCAATCATCAAGTGTTTTTGGAGAAAATGGGTTTTAAAGATGTTTTTGAAATCTGTGTACACACTAACCTTGGCCTTTTGTACATATATCATTTGACGCAAATAACTCTAATTTCTCGGCAACACCGAAATCTGAAATCTTTAGCGTATCGTCAAGCGTTAGTAATAAATTCCCTGGTTTGATATCATTGTGAATAACTCCTTGTCCATGAAGATATTCTAGTCCATCAATGAGCTGAACGAAATATTTGTGAGCTTGAAATAATGGCAATTTAGATTCTGGAGCTGATGCAAGCATTTCTTGTAACACACAAACACAATATTCCATAACTAGATACATCTTTTGTTTCTCTTCATTATACAGAACATCAATTAATTCAACGACATTTTTATGCTTAAGTGATCTAAGAAATAAAATTTCATTTCTAACATTCATTTCACCATTTGGAATTCTACGAAGTTTACGTTTAGCCAATATCTAAAATAGAAATGATATAAAGAAAAGATAAATCATTAAAATTTAATAGCATTTAGATAATGGATGCACATCTCTCGAGAGAATTTTCTGTTTGACATAGTGCCTCACTAGCTTTGCATGGAATTTTGTAGCGGTTCTTGTTTGAAAGTCTTCTTTTAAAAAACCAATTCAGCGTAATCAGCTGTAAAATATTTGTTTACATTGGTCCGCTGAATAGTGCTGAATTCTCTTTTAATTTTATATCATCACCAAACACTACTGACCAAGTTCTACTCTCAAAAAAATGGGATACAAGAGTTTCTGTCCTGCATGACGACATTTGATACTGTTTAATAACTTATATTTACTTACCTTTACAGCCCTTCTCGTGAGATTTTCACTGTCCAAAACTTCCTTGACTTTTCCATAACTTCCTTCTCCAAGTTTATCTCCCATCACATATTTTCCAACCATTTTACATTTATTCTGTTTCTTTTGATAAATAATCTCATCTGAAGAAACTCGATTGAAATTAAAATTTGCGATGGTCTGTAAATCCAATTGTTCGATTTGATCATCATTATTTAGCCACTCAACAGCTGGAACTTCGTCGGCAAGCTCAATTTCTTGCTCCATAATCGTTTATTTTCACATAAAATTTATTTTAAATCCTCGAAAACTACAATATTAAACATTTTTATCAATATTATGATGGTTTTCAAATTATTCTTTCAAAACAGCGAGGGGGTTCGAATATCGTTAAAAAAGTTCATTCGTTGGACACAAGAATAATAATGCTTGTAAAAAAACTGTAAAAACGTATCATAAGCCTTAACAAACTCCTGCAAAATTCATGTATATTTGGGTTCATTTATTAATCTATTCAGAGGCAGTATACTTTAATTTAATAATTTTTTATCTATGCCATTTTTTACGATTAAAGAACCCCCTTACAAAACAAAAAAAATGACTATGTTATGGATTAATCAGTCAAACAGGAAATTTTTTTATCCGCTTTTTTTTTAAAAAAATTGAATAAGTTCTAAAAAATTCGAAAAAAATCTTCTAATAGGAATTAACGACTTAAACACGTGGTTGTCAAGCAAAACAAAAATTATTAAATAGCAAACTGAATTGAATTAATTAGCATTCTTTATCATTTATATTACCTAGATATGGTTTAAAATGCAATTTAAAGCATTTTTGGTTTTGAACGTAGAAGGCTATTTTGAAATAAATATCGATTTTATATCTTTATAAACATTCTTTATCATTTATAATACCTAGATATGTTTTGTAATGCAATTTAAAGCATTTTTGGTTTTGATCATAGTAGGCTGTTTTCAAAAATGTATCGATTTTATTTCTGTATTAGCATTCTTTATCATTTATAATGCCTAGATTTTTGCATTTTTTGTTTTGATCATAGTAGGCTATTTTCAAAAAAAAAATATCGATTTTATATCTTTATTAGCATTCTTTATCATTTATAATACCTAGATATGTTTTAAAATGCAATTTAAAGCATTTTTGGTTGTGATCATAGGAGGCTATTTTCAAAAAAAATCGATTTTATATCTATATTAAAATGCAATTTAAAGCATTTTTGGTTCTGATCATAGTAGGCTATTTTCAAAAATGTATCGATTTTATATCTGTATTAGCATTCTTTATCATTTATAATACCTAGATATGTTTTAAAATGCAATTTAAAGCATTTTTGGTTGTGATCATAGGAGGCTATTTTCAAAAAAAATCGATTTTATATCTGTATTAGCATTCTTTATCATTTATAATGCCTAAATATGTTTAAAAATGCATTTTAAAGCATTTTTTTGTTTTGATCATAGGAGGCTATTTTCAAAAAAAAATCGATTTTATATCTATATTAGCATTCTCTATCATTTATAATACCTGTATATGTTTTAAAATGCATTTAAAAGCATTTTTGGTTTCGATCATAGTAGGCTATTTTCAAAAAAAAAATATCGATTTTATATCTATATTAACATTCTTTATCATTTATAATACCTAGATATGTTTTAAAATGCAATTTAAAGCATTTTTGGTTTCGATCATAGTAGGCTATTTTCAAAAAAAAAATATCGATTTGATATCTATATTAGCATTCTTTATCATTCAGAAACTCTAGCATGGAAAGATTTCTTATCGTCATTAGCGTCATTTCTTAGCATTGATGGCCCTATAGAACTTCCTGGACTCATTCATTCTGTGTGCTTCGTCGACATCAGAGATCACTTTGAGATCGTGAGCTAGTTTCTTCCTTCGTAGCACCCTCTTCTTTCCTTTTGAAGCATCCTTATCTCATCCGCTTTAGCCCTCGTAACTCTTCCTTTCCTTGCATCGATGACCCTTGCTGGACAGCTTCCTTACATTCCTTGTCAAACCAGACATTCTTTGTATGTTGTTTCATGCCAAGACATTTTTCAGCACTAGCCTGCATAGCTTCACAACACTGGTGGTATGCAGCTCCTTCATGCTCATGGACTGCTAAGCGTTCCTTTAGGTCATTGTTAAACGCCTCTTTGCAATCCTTGTTGATTTGCTTAGCAACATCATAGCGTTTACATTAAAAATTAATTCGACTATTAAAAGAATTTCAATTTATTTGGTTTTGAGTGGGTTTAAGAAATATTTATGTAAATCTTGATTAATTTTAAACCGGTTTAATTTTATTTATTTTGCTTTATTTGCACAAAATGTTCCTAAAATGTCAAAAATGCATTCAAATAGCTAAAATCACTTATGATTGATAGAAAAAAATGACTTAATTTTTTTGTTGATAGTAGCTGGTCTTAATCCAGTAACACGGATTAACTAGTGCTTGATCTCCATAATTAATCCTGACTTTTTTATTGTATTGAAATTATTTGGAATATTTACACCGTATTTACGTTGGTTCACGTTCTTTTGCTTAAGATTTCAATTTGGCATTGCTTAGAAAATCACAAAAAAAGATTTCTGTAAGCAAGCAAACAAGCATGCAAGTTAAGCAGCATCTGATTCGCTGGTTTTATGCTTTCAAACTTATTCTGAGCAAAGCTCAGCTGACTCGTTAGCTTTATATCTTCAAACATTTGCTGAGTGAAGCTCAGCTGACTCCCTGGTTTTATACTTTCAAATTTACCAAGCTTTATACCTTCAAACTTATGCTAAGCCATAAGGGGCCGTTCACTTATTACGTTCGCATTTTAGGGGGGAGGGGGGGTTTGAAAAATTGTAACAAAATGTAACATAGGGAGGGGGGGGGGGGGGTCAAGAAGTATGTAACGTTCGAACTGTCGTCTGTCTTAAAAAAAGTTCACGAAAAAAATTTGTTTACAAATTCATACCAAAAACATTTTTTTAAATTTTTCACCTTTTTAATGATAAAATAAATTATGAGCGTTCAGGGGGGGGGGGGGGGGGTTATGAGTTGTAACATATTGTAACAAGGGGGGGAGGGGGGGTGAAAAAAGTCGTTTTTTTGCGTAACGTAATAAGTGAACGGCCCCTAAGACTTTTGATGGTACGGTGTGAATATATCTACATTGGGTTTACCCGATACACTAATTTTTGTTTTGTGATATATATAAAAGAACTGTAAACTAACATAAGTCAAATGCGGAAGCTAGTGACTTTCTACGTAAGTCGTGTTTTTAACATTACTTTTTTCTATTTTGACTTTTGTTCCCAAAGTTTACAGTTGCTTAATGCTTATGGTGTTCACCTGGGAACCAGTGTCTAATTTAAAAAATGATTTTATCATTTATTTTAAATTTTTTATATCAAACATTTTTACTGTTTACGTACCTATTCATGAATCGCAACTAACAACTGACTTAATTTACCTTCTTTTTCTTCTTCTTGGACATACAGACATTTGCAAAATTCCCTTTCACACCGCAATTGAAACATGTGTAGTTTCGAGCTGGACACTTGCTTTTTTCATGTTAATGATGATGCTTGTTGACTTTGTGAATTTGTTGAACTTTGTCCGATGTGATTTCGTTGAATTCTTTTTGATGGTGATAAAAAATTTTGACTTTGTTAATCACAGCATTCAATGATTTATCTTCACCTAAGATGATTTTTTCTTTCAACTTGCTGTCTTGTAAGCCAAAAACGATTTTATCACGAACTGCCTCGTTTTTAAAGCAATTGAATTCACATTGGCCTGCTAATTTGAGTGTTGCTGTACACGGTTACGAAATTTCATTCGTTCAATTTGAAAATTTAAAGCTGGCAGAAAGTAACTTTCAATTCCCTCAAACACTTTTTTGAAGACTTTCTTATCTGCATCTGTTATCTGGAGATTCTTGATTAGATCCACTGACTTGTAGCCCATCAATAACGTCAAATAATGCAACTTTATCTTGTGAGAAAGTTCTTCAATTGCATTTATCACCAAATATGACTTGAATTCCGTTGAGAATCGCTTCCACTCACATCCTAGTGATGATGCTTCAAAATTGAACTTCTCTATCGATACTAACGACTGCGCCATGTTGAGAATTCCAATTTTTCTTTTATTAAATGAAAATAGAACTTTTCGTTTCAATACGAGTTTATCGAATGATTCTCTTTATTTTTACATTTTTCATTGATTACTTTGATCCATTATTTTACACTTTCAATGTTTTGATTCTAGTTTACAAACTTAGGGTTTGGAGAACCTATTAAAAGCAGATCTGTTTTCTGTTTTTCATTTTTACATATAATTTACAGAAAAAAAAAATCTTAATTTTTTGAAGAACTTATTATATTTTTCTAGCATTCCAAATTGAAATGTATTTACTATTTTAATATTTTTTGGATGTTTAATAGCTTTGAAATCATTGTCAAATTTATGATTAAAATCATTATTAATTTTGAAATCGAAATTTTAAATTTGTTGAACCTTTTGAAGCAATTATTAAAGTTCAAAAATATAATCAACAATTTTACAAGATATTTTTTTATCCAGAAAGATTTTTTGAATATTTCAAATAAAATATTAGAGTTTATGGAACTTTTGCAATGCAACAATGCAATGTTTGTTAAAAGTATAAATATTTTTTTTTGAATTTTTATATTTCATTATATTTTATAGAGTTAATTAACGAAAAATTAAGAAATAATAATGCTATAGCTCTATAATGTATGCCTGACTGTAACTGCTTATAACCACCAAAAAGTTTCATTATCTTAGAGAAACACTTAGGATAACTCAGTATATTTTGAATTCTAGAAAAACAGGAAAACAGCTGTTTTTAAAAATCAAAGACCGAAAACAGACTGTTTTCCACAAACCCTAATATGATCGAAGTGAACAAATTTGCAATTCATGTATGGTCATGACTTTAGTATGATACTTTCAAAACAATCTAAAATTTTCAAACCAATATCCTTTGAACCCAATAAAAAAGTTATTTTCTACTTTTTAGTCCACGGGTAAATACGTGGTTTTTATATTCACACCGTTTTCACGTGTGAATCTATTGGTTTTGTTCAGATTGAAAAATCAGTTTTTCGCATTTTGTGAGAAAACAAAGCAAAATTGGTTATAAAAGGTCAACAAGAAAAGTTTGTGCCTGAAATTTTACATCATTTTCAAAAAACAGATTTCAAATTGGTTGTGGCATTGCTGAGAAAATCGCAAAATACGCTTTCTGTAAGCAAACAAGCAAGCAAGCAAGTTAATCAGCAAGAAATCTCAATAACGAGACATCGTAGAGACTTCTAGTTTTTTAAATTTGATCCGTGCTGCTCTATAGAAGAGCTGTATTGTTTTTGGGCAAGGTAGGAAGAGCCGTTGCTTCAGAAATGGCAAAAAACTTTCCTTTCTTACGAATTTTTTAAAATAAAAGTTGACTGTGATTTTATAAAATTCAACTTTGGATGAAAATTTTTTTTAAAAAACTTTTAAAGAATATTTGGCATATTCGTCAAGCTTTATACCTTCAAACTTATGCTGAGAGTAGCTCAGCTGACTCGATAGCTTTATATCTTCAAACTTATGCTGAGCGTAGCTCAGCTGACACTCTAGCTTTATATCTTCAAACTTATGCTGAGTGTAGCTCAGCTTACGCGATAGCTTTATAACTTCAAACTTATGCTGAGCGAAGCTCAGCTGCCTCTCTAGCTTCATATCTTCAAACTTATGCTGAGCGTAGCTCAGCTGACACTCTAGCTTTATATCTTCAAACTTATGCTGAGCGTAGCTCAGCTGACACTCTAGCTTTATATCTTCAAACTTATGCTGAGCGTAGCTCAGCTTACGCGATAGCTTTATAACTTCAAACTTATGCTGAGCGAAGCTTAGTTGACTTATCAAGCTTCATACCTTCATACTTATAATTGGCAAATCTTGGTCTATCCATAAGACTTACGATAGTACGGTGTGAATATAATCCGCATTGGGTTTCTACCCGATACACTAGTTTAAAAAGTATTTTATCTATTAAAAGTAATCAATAATGGTAATAAACTGTATCGTTAATAGCAGAAAAAACATTACAATCATCAAATGAGTTAATTCCGAATTAACAGTTTACAAATTTTCTGTTCATCTTCAAAATATATTTTACAGCACATATGATGCTAAAATTCTTTCGGTCCATGCAATAAATTATGAAAATTTAATTTCGCCGCTTTTAATATTCGTAAACATTTTTATTCCTGCCACAGGTAGCTTAAGCGGCATGGAGAAAGATATGTCAAAATAATTATTAAACTCATAAATTTATGGATATTACGTCATCAAATTTATTAGTGCTAAATATTTATTTAAAACATTAAATACGCTCAAAATAATACAGTTATAAAGTTACACATGTTGAGTCCTTCCAAGCATTTTAAAGAAACTCGCCAACAGGTTTAATAACAATTTCATGCACCTGAAAATTTAAAATTTAAAATATTAATTCAGGAGATGATGACTTCAAATAATAACTTTTACCTCAACATTGTCTTTTGCACTAATTGCAAAAGTCAAGGCTGCCGCTATATCTTCGGGTCTTAAGGCTGGCATTAATTTAACAAGTTCATCGTTAGCGTTTTCCTGTTGAAATGTTTTTATTTCAAAATTAGACATTCATTAACAAGATCATTAACTTACTTGAAGGATGTCGCATTCAACTAGACCAGGTGTTAAACTTGTGACTTTTACTGTTTCATCTAAAAACAAAAGCTCCTGTCGAATAGATTCAGTAATTGCAACTGCTGCGTACTTAGAAGCCTATTAAGGATTCAATGATATGAGTTAAATAAAGAAATTATAAATTATTAGCATGAAATATCTTACCGGATACATTCCATTCATTGGTTGCGATCCAGGCTTAATGTAAATAAATAATTAATTTTAATTGCGATTTTTAAAAGGAAGTTTTAGTAATAAATTTACCACGCAAGCCGTAACTTTATGTCCAAAAATTGAATTTATATTAACGATGTGTCCGACATCTTTCCGTTCCATTGCTCGTTGACGCATTAATTTGACAGCTTCTCTAGTAACAACACATAGAGCCAAAACATTTGTGTTCATTATATGATACATGTCTGCCGTGTTCTTCCCATCTAATAAGAATCCCTTAAGCATGACATTAGCGTTGTTCACAAGTAAATCTATTCCATCAAATGTATCGCCTATGTGTCTAAATACTGCCTTAATCTGATCTTCGTCTGTTATATCACATTCAAATGTCAACATTTTCCCTTTGACATCAAAAAGTGTCCTATTCAGTTCCTGTAAGTAATTTTTTATATAACCACATCGATGTTATGAAAATATTGTCATTACCTCCAATTTTGCAACACCAGATTTCTTCACAACAGCACAAACCGTCATTCCATGTTGAACAAGCGATTTGCATATCTCAATGCCAATAGAATTTGAGGCACCAGTTACAAGAGCAACACGACCATACCATTTGTACATCTTTAACTAAAAAATATTTTTTTGACACTTTTAAAAGAAGAAAATTCATAAAAAAATTTTTTATTTTTGTTCAAAAAAATGCGACAAAAATTATTCAGACACATTTGAGAGACTGATAGCCACATTTGACAGATGATTTTTTTTTGTTTATGTCCTCGTGTGAATAATAAAAATAATTAACTTGTTTATCAAGTAAAGTCTTTTGTGTACCTTATGATTGAACTTAAATTTTATGATAATCCTTAATGATGTGCAAAAATTATTTCGTCGAAAGGAAATTTTCAACACAACACTTTAGCAACTCACGACCGAATGAAAATCGTTTTGTAGAAAGAAAATTTCTATAAGTGAGAAGAATTTCTTGATCATACTAATTCAAATATAATGAAAGTCCCGATTGTGTGAAGATTCTCGCCTCCCTATAATGATGCTGATACTCTCAGCATTTGCGCAAATGTATTGGTCTATATTTATTAACAAATTTTTCAGAGATAAATTATTATTGTCACACTAGCTCGCTAGTTGGTTGACTAGCTACATGTGTTGAACTCTTGAAGGAAATCATTTATTTGACTTTTTTTTTCGAATTAATTGTTACATCCTCAATAACACAAAAATATAAATGAGTTTACATCCGACAATAGTAATTCAGATTATATTCTTTAGTGAGCATAAAAGACCTTGCTGTAATTTTAATTTTTGTTTGCGACTCTTCTTGCTGTTCTTATTTACTCATGAAAAATTTTAAAACAAATTAATTTCATCATGTTTCACTTCTTTTTGAAGAGATAATGCCACAGCATTCCTTCTTTAACTGAAAAGACTAAAACATGTTTCTTTTGCACTTCTTAAACAGATAAAGATGTCAAAAAATTAAACAGGCCAAGTAAGATTTTGTCTAGCACATTTCACATCAATTCTAAGGAAAAAAGAGGTTCAAATCATCAGATCGAAAACATTCTTTGTCGGCGGCAAGGAGAAATGCTTTAGTGACATTAAAAACTCAAAGGAATATTAGAGAGAAAAATATCTATAATTCTTGTTTGCTTGTTCAGTGACATTACCTTGGAATTGAGGAAAAATTTGCAACCCACATAATTCCATATGTTCCACGACATTTATAGCTTTTACGCTATATCAAACTGGTGTTTCTCGCGCGCCTCTTATATTATATATTTTTGTTTCTTGGCTGATGATAACTCAAACAGGCGTCCTGAAGTTGTCATGCGAAATGGTTGAATTGAAATTTATGCTCATCCGAATTACTTTTATCTTCATATTTTCCCTGCCTTACTTGAAATTTTATTCAATCATCTCAAAATATGAGATTTTTCCATTTTCATATTCTGTCCCTCAAACATCATTCCGATTCACCTGATTGCTTTAAAATTTTCATTTTTCTCACTGTTTATTTAATTCAGTGTAAAAGATTTAATTCAAATAAAAAGCTAATCTTGTCAGCCATAAACTGATTCAAATAATATTCATAAAATGGGTTTACCTTTAAGTATTCAACGGCCTCATAAATTTTGACAGGGAAACTTTTGAATTGAATACTCAAATGCCTCTTTCATTGCTAATAACAGAATCTTTTATGTCAATGTATATTTTCTTTTCAAATCTTAATGGCACCAAAGGCATTTAAATTGTGTATAAAATATAAAATAAATTAGTCCTCATTCTTTAATTTTATTTCTTTCTCTCATGTCACACACAATACTATTTATTTGCTAAACGGATAGTCTGCATAAGTACTGCAGTTTGTAGACGGAAATTTATAACATTGTTTATGCCTATTCAAATTAAATCATAATAATTATACTTTTAAGTGCAATATAATGATCATCAGGTGTCTTCTTAAACCATCCGTACTGACTTTTAGTGCAAATATATATATTAATTGAGAGATATAAGCATAAATATATAATTCAAAATAAGATCGCACACAATGAGTTTTGCAAATAGGAAAAAGAAAAAATATTGAATTAATTTTTCTTCTTAAAAATAATTTTTGAATTGAAGAAAAATGAAATGAAGCCTTTCTTCTCTTACGTAGTCGAGTATGTGTATATATTTTATGAGTTTAAGAGGCAAAATATTTTAATCTTGTCGCAGTATTTTCCCATATACCCAAAGAATTTAATTTTTTCATCTCTCATTTTCATTGCGTGAAAAAATATTTGACGTTGAGGCGCGAAACTAAAGTTATGGTCTCGTATAACAAACGTGACATTTTTAAACCCCATTAGATGCTTTGTCTTTTCATCTATGCTCTCTCCTCTAGTTTGCGTGCATTGATGAGGAAAATTTCTTTAAGTTTATTTTCCATCTCTTTTTCTCGTGATTTAGCTAGTTTTTCTTGTGTCTCTATTAAACTTTTGACTTACATTATGTCTATAGCATATTCGTCGATTATTTTTTTAAAAAAATAAGTCTATTAAAATCGACGTCTTTAACTCAAAATCTACAGAACGGACCTGAACATGAAGATTTTACAAACGAGATCATTTCAAAGCTCCTGATGACGGACAAACTGAATAACAAAATAAAAAAATCTTTGTGACAGCACACAATGCCTCGAGAAACAAAAAACAAAATAGATCTTTTCCTCGAGTCTAATTAATTGAGTCATCGTTACGGTATATATTTTCTTTTACAATCTGAAACATAATGTTTTCCTTTTCTTTTTGTATGCATTGATTTATCTCTATCAACACCATATTCATAAATTCAGTTGTGGAATTTAAAGCTTTGCGATTTGTGGTTAATTTATTTTTTCATGCCAAAAGAGCAATGTATAGTTCAAATAGAAATGAAATACGTAGAAAGCTAAAGAACTTCCACGCCTACAAATTCAAATCATCAATGGTTCTATTGATGCATGTATTAGCATTGCTGTAATACATCATTAACTTCTCGAATATGATAGCGGTTCAACAGTCAGCACAAGAATCGTTCAAGACCTAATCTACATCCACCACGAAGCGTTCTTCCATAAACTCTTTGAACAGTATGTAAATGAAAGTTGATTAAATTACTAAATGACGTCGAGTACGAGATTGACTTTTCTACGCTTCCTTTTAATTCCTCAATTAATGTGAATAAACTTAGCTTTTTGCGATGATGCATCATCTGCTTCTTTTTTTAAAATTTTTCTTCAAATATTTTAATTCTCGGACCTACTATTTATGGATTTTTTTCAAATTCCTTATGTGGACTTTATATCCTTTCATTGGTTCTTCTTTTGTCTTCAATCTTTTCCTCGAATTGCTTGATTGTAAACAAATATATTTGATTTTATGAATGGGACCTTTTACATATTCCTTAACACCTTTAAGTTCAAATTTGTTTACTGTTTATGTTGCTGCATCAAATTTAACGACTTTAAGTTAAATTGGACGTCCAAAAATATCATTTTTCTCTTAATTTCTTAAATATGCAAAAGAATTAAATGAGAAAAAAAATAAATCCAGCAACCTTTGAAGTTCAATTCTGAATTTTTTTCAGTTTTGTGTAAACAATGGAAGCAACAAGATCGTTTGATTTGACAACGGAGGACATCAAGGAATTGATTCAAAGGATGAATCAAATTTTGGAGGAAGAAGAACAGCGAAATGGGAGCATAGGATCAGGAAGTGGAAACATGGAACCACAAGTTGAGGAAGAGGTAAGCATGAATTTTATATGATTTAAATCACATTGTATGGGGATTCTTTTTGGGATTTTAAATCACTTGAAGGTGAAAATTTGTTTGGGAATTTTCAGAAGATTAATTAAAAACATTAATCATTAATCATGGATATCCTTTCTGGCTTTTGGATATTGTAGTATGCAGATGTTGGTATAGCTCTAAATGATAAAGCATGAATGGATCTAGCATCATATGAGGAACTAGTCAATTCCAGTCCCTTTAAAGCATTTTTTGATAAGTTTTCATTGTCAAAGAGGTATACGTTTGTATTTCTTAGCCAGAGGTATGATTAGACACTGGAACTGTCCAGTTCCTTTACATCCCAAAAAAATTTTTTTGTTTCTTTTTAATCAAGGAATCACATCCTGGAATAAAAAATTTTTTTGAGGAACCGACCGGTTCCTTTAGTGCCTGAAGACTGAAAATGCTCAAAAAAAAGTGCTTAATTCTTTAATAACTTAATATTTGACATTTTAAGTCTTCAGGCACTAAAGGAACCGGTCGGTTCCTCAAAAAGATTTTTTTTGTTCCAGGATGTGAATCACGATTAAAAAGAAACCAAAAATCTTTTTTTTGGGATGTAAAGGAACTGAGCAGTTCTAGTGTCTAATCATATCTCTGGCTAAGAAATACAAACGTATACCTCTTTGATAATGAAAACTTATCAAAAAATGCTTTAAAGAAACTGGAATTGACTAGTTCCTCGTATGATGCTAGATCCATTCATGCTTTATCATTTAGAGCTATACCAACATCTGCATACTACAATATCCAAAAGCCAGAAAGGATATCCATGATTAATGTTTTCTAATAATCTTCTGGAAATTCCCAAACAAATTTTCACCTTCAAGTGATTTAAAATCCCAAAAACAAAATGCCCATACAATGTTATTTAAATCATAAATCACAAATAAATCTTTCATACACAATGATTTAAATCATAAATCAAAAATAAATCACTTGTGTAAAATGATTTAAATGAAAAATCATTTTTCAAATCATTTTGATCATGATTTAAATCCTTACCTTTAAATTTTGAAAAATTTAACAAATTTTTTTTTCCAGGAAATGAACCAGTTCATCAACAGTATGCCAGCTCTCATTCCAGATTATGAGCTCGAGGATCCACATCTCCTGGATAGACACTCTTCGCCAATCATTTCTGCTCCAATTCCTGAGGAATTGGAAAGTGGATGGCAAGATGAATTGAAAGGTGGATGGCAAGATGGATTGGACCAAGAGTTGGATGAAGGCTATCAAAATTTGTTGGACCAGAAATTTTATAGCGACTACCAGCCATTGGCTTACG